CTAAGGCTTCTCTTTACTATGTTCCTAAATGTGTCGATATGTGAGTGGTTTCTCATAAATTAAAAATTAAATGAAAAATCACATTTCATTATCAGATATGACTATATGAGCATTGTTATTCACTTTTTCTTTATTATTCTCCACATCTAAATGGAATCTTCTTAATTTTACATTTCATGATAAATATTTTTAATCGTGATAATAACAATGAACAGAGTATAAATATTGTGTCAAAATAAATTTTCATTGTTTATTTATCAACTTCGTGTCTCAATGTTTCGAAAAGTGACTGGCAAAGGCATGGGAGCTCACGTGATTTGCTAGCTCCATTGTACGTGCAATAATGGGACTTAGAAATTTTTTTACTTTCAGTTATATAACGTATATTTTATGGTTTAATGCTGTTATAGAGCATTGGTTAAGAAATAAAAAATAAATAAAGTTTTTATTAAAAAAATGTATCTACATATACTCTCGTTTAATTTTATTATAATTTTTAATAAAAATTTCCTGCTTATTAATTATTTAAATAGTACCGATTAGTATTTAGTAAGACTCATGTTTTGTTTATGATATTCATGTCTTAGCTTTTGAATAAATAATATTGCGAAATATCATGTTTCGTAATCTTTTATTTGGAATTAGTCCGATCCTTAAATCTTATAAATAATTTAATAATTGCGTTATTGACTATTCAAATTCATTTTTTTATAACATTTGAATTATGATTTAATTACATTTATGATATGTTTAAATTGTTTTAATTATTAAATTTATTACGTCTTAATTTTGATATTATTACATAATAATTTAATGTCTTTAACCAAAATCGTGGCTATTAACAATAAAAATAGCTTTCGAAAAATTATCTTTTCTCACTTACTCTCTTGTTCTTTTGGGTTCAATTTTTCGACTTGTCATTTATTAGCCTCAGAAAAATCTAAGTGGTTTTTGTTGCATTCTGGAAGGCTATGAATAAGTTTTATATCGGTGTTTGATATACTCAAAAATTATAAATTCTATAAATGATTTTTCATATGATAATTAATTCTGTTAAGTTCGTCATAAATATTTTTAAAAATATTTATAAGTATTATTTAATAATCATAAATTTTTATTATATTAATTAAATAAATTAAAATAATGTGATATTTTACCACAATAAAACATTTCTTAAGTTTAATTCACGATATTAGATTCCTATCTACTTCATGCGAATAATTTGACGAGAGACTAGTGTAAAGAATATTTTTGAGAAATGTTTTCTGAAAAGGTTATTCTTTAAATGATAAATCAAATATGAAAAACTAACATTTTCAACTTTAGATTCCTCAAAAAAATAAAATATTTCGCATACTAAATGTTTCCTTACGATAAGTTGTCACACATAAGAAAATTTGTAACACCTCAAATTTTTTTAAATAAATTAATATATTTTTAATTAATTAAGGGATTTTGAAAAATAGTGGAGATGTTTTATTTAATTATATGTGTTTTAATTAATTCTTCAATTCCCCTAAAAAATTAATTCTTTAATTAAGTGTAATATTTTGGAAAATATGTGTTTTATATTGTGGCTTTATTTTAATTATATTTATGTTTAAAATGAAAATAAGAGAGGGAATTGGTTTTTATAAAGGGAGGTTTTAAGCATAAGCTATTTACTCTTCTTTTTCTTATATGTGTTCTAATGTACATCAAGATAAGAAGAGTAGAGTGAGTAGTTTCGCTTTGAGGTTTAGATTTATGATGGTAGTGTGATTGACCTCTAATATCTTTTCTAATATTGTATGATGTGAGGAAGAAATCCCAATTCTATTTTATAATATATGAATTTGTGTACCATACTCTTCTTATGTGCCTTATTTATGATGATCGAGACATATGTAGAATCAATTTTGTGTTAATTGTTGTAATTGTGAATTTATAAGTGTTTGTGGTTCCATAGGAACCCTAAATATAAAGTAAAGTGAATTAGTAATTAACAACGATGTTTTGGATATAAACATGTTTAATTGTTGGCTTGTATGGGTATAGTTAGGCTTATTGCATCTTTTTATCCATTGGATACCATGTTTTGTGCCTTGGGTTGCCTTGGGTGATTTTTTGCACTTTTTGTGGATGAGACGTTTAAGTGTGGGAGCTCTAGGGGCTCCTTGGTACAATCTTGTCGGATGTGATCCTTCTAGAGAGCAACATATGCTTTTTGAGTGAATTGCATCGGGTAGAGGGTACCTGATGCTGTGTGTTTACCTATTTGTTTTTTTGTATATAATCATGTGTTTTAAGATACTTAATTAATGTAATGACCCCTATTAATGATAGATCATAGTATGCTAGTTTAGTAATGGATTAAGTGTAACTTAATAGTATGTTTTACTATGTGTTTCTCTAAGGCTTGCTAATGGTTATATATGATGTATTTATGTGTTGGCCACATGATGGTCATATACATGAAGTCTAAGTTGAGGCTTTGCAAGGATAAAGTTTCGGCATGATTTCCTAGCTGTGATATGGATAACATGTGTGGTATGTTCTTGTGATTTGTGATAATGAGATAACATGATAACATGATAAGTACACTGGGTCTTGTGTGACATGCATTATGAGCATAAGTGTTGTTTGTGAAGGATATGATACAAAATACAATAACCAAGGAAGGTTCCCTTTGTAAGAGCTTGGGAATTTATGAGAATGGAGACAATTGGTTTGGAAGTCTTGGTTGTTTGTGTGCATGAGATGAAACTTGCACAACATGGAAAGGGTGAAATGTATATCATTTAGTAAAGTTTGTGTACATTACATTTGTGTGAATTATGGTTAATTATATATCGAGATATTCCTTTGTCTTATGATCGACTATATTGTGCTTATATACTCGCTATGCTATGTCTTGTTTGTATTTGGTTATCCAAATATATCTCACACCAATAATTAGAGTAAGATGTTTCTTACCCCCTTTCGTTCTTTTTGATGTTCTTGTATATGGGTGAGGATCATTATCGAGATGATGAGATTGGAGATGAGGCTTAGGCCTTATGTTTGGTGTTGAATTTTGATAGGATGTGACATTGGAGATATAGTTAAGATTTTATATATTTGTTGGTTTCTTCATGATAGGACTTATGTTAGTTTTTCTTAGTTGTAATGACTTGTTTAGTCATGTATTTAGTTCTTTGTGATTTTGTTATGTTTTCATATATGATGTAACGACCCGGCTAGTCACTACACACGGCATCGTACACTAGAAACTCCAGACAGATAGAACAAGTATAGAAATATAGGATCTAGAATGTATAAATATACAAAGTTCTGGTTTGACTAGGGTTAAAGTGCACCAAAGAAAATTACAACCAAATGTTACTATCCCAAGTAGCTACAAGCAAAATATCCACACAAGCAAAACAGCTCCAAGGTTCGCCGGAGACTCATCCCAAGACGCCCACCTATTCCTGTTCTGCTCCCATACATAGTATGATCATCGCAGTCCAACAACATGGAAAACAGCAAAGGGTAAGCTAGTATACTTTAAAAATCAACCTATAATTAAATGCATAGTAATATGATTAAGTCCGTCAACAGCAACAGCAACAGCAACAGCAACAGCACCACCTCAAGTGGTTATAATGGCCCCTCAATTAGGCACATATCAGCACCAGCTAGCGGTTATTACAACACCACGTATGTGGCAAACAACAGCACCGACTTAACGGCTACAACACCACACCATTCAGCATAGTACAGCATGGCATATTACAGCACAACACAACATTTCAACACATCATACAACTCAGCTTGGCTCAACAACATTAATCAATATTAGTCAGCATAAATCAGCATATTAAAAAAAAACACATCCAAAACAACCTTCAACTTATCATAATCACTCATTGTAAAACGACAACCATTACTAATTATAGAATATCTGGAGTCATAATGCTCCTATCATGTTCATCCTTATATCATATTAATGATAAGAAAATTTCCTACAACTCTCAGGAAGACCCCAAATCCTAATTCTTTCATCTACCATGTTAAAAATTTTAAAAACCGAAACAGCTATAACTAATGCTGATAGCTTGACCCCTCTTCACTAAAACGGCCATATCTGGAGTTCTAAAACTCCTTTTTGAGTGATTCCAGCGCCATTGGAAAGCTAACATCCAAGGCTACAACTTTCATGAAGACTACAAAGTCCAAATCTGAAAGTACAAAGGCGCTCAGCGCCTCCAAAGCGCTCAGAGCTTTGCCCCCAAAGATTCTCCTCTAGCTCTCTGCCTCTAAAGCGCTCAGCGGTTTAAAACGGCTCAGTCGTTTGGCTCCAGGGGGCTCTCTGCCCCCAAAGCGCTCAGTGCCTTAAAACGGCTTAGCCGTTTGCGACAGCGAACACAATCCCTCCACCATTTTTGAACAACAATCCTGCAGATCTTAACAGAAAATTAACATGCAAATGGATCAAAATGTCACATTTTCATCAAGGAGTTCAAAGATACCAGCTTTATATGCATGCAACCACAAATCAGAGAAAATCAAACTTTGGATTCAAGACCACAAAACCCCCAAAGTTTCAGCAGCTCAGCCAATAAAATCACTCATTTTCAACCACCAAAGAGTTCGTAGAACTCGTTTCAACCCCAGAAAAACCAAATGACTAGCTTCCCTTACCTCAAAATGAAGATCGCAACTTCCGGGAATGAGAAAAGGAGAAGAAGGGGAAAAGCTCCACGAAGAAGAAAGTGACCCACGCCTCAGTTAGTCCTCAACACCCGAAACAGCACCTTGAATTCACACCCCAAGGAGAAAGATTAGTGAAGTGAGGAGGGAGGAGTCTGGAGAGTAAGGGTGAAGGGAAATGGAGAGTGAGTGGGAGAGGGGGGTGTCGGGGAGAGAAAAAAAATGAATAGGGGAAGTAGGGTCTCACAACCTCCCCAACAACAGGAGTTTTCGTCCCCGAAAACAGACTTACTTGGGAAAAGAAATGGATACTGCTCTCGGCACTGCTACTCAACCTCCCAAGTAGCCTCACCAGTAGCTGCATCCCACAGCACCTTTACCAGAGGAATGAACTTGCCTCTCAACTCTTTCAACTTATGATCAACCACAGCTACTGGCAACTTCTCATACGTCAAATTCTCCTTCACCTGTACATCATCTAGCTCCACCACATGACTCGGGTCATGGACGTACTTTCTCAGCTGGGAGACATGAAACACATCGTGCAGGTTTGAAAGGGACGGTGGCAAAGCCAACCGATAGGCAACTGGACCTACCCGGTGTATGATCTGATAAGGACCCACAAATATTGGTGTTAACTTCCGAGCCTTCAGCGCTCTACCCACACCAGAAGTCGGAGTCACCTTCAGAAACACATGTTCCCCCTCAGCAAACTCCAAAGAAGGGACCGTAGGAAAGGGTGAAGGGGATGTAAAACGAAAAGAGGAAACAGGAGAGGGTAATGTAGTGGAAAGGGAAGTAGGAAAAGGAGAAGATTGGATAGGGTGTACCGAACATGGTGAATCAAGGGTTGGACTGGTAGATGAGACCGGTGCCATAGAGGTGAGTTTGGCCATCATCGCATCAATGGATTGTTGGAAGGCAGCTTAACAAGCCTCTTGGTTGAGTTGTTGCAAGTGAAGCAATTTATAATATGCTTTAACTACTTTCCATGAAGTGGCATGAGTTGCATTTTAGCTTTATTTGAATGATTTTTTAGTAGCTTAGCTTACAGGAAAATTTTAAAACACTGTCCTATTGCGTCCAACAGAACCCTTGTGATTTAGATTAGTGCATACAAGGTTTGGCATATAAATTTTTTATGTAGTTAATAATCCATGTACGTTGCTTTGTAAAATGTCCATGTGTTCAGCAAAAAAATAAATTAATGTCCATAGTTGTTTTATGGTATATTGTCTCAGTGATCAACTTTAGTGAAAATTGTCATCGTATCTCTTGATTTTTTTATATTCTTATTTTTTGATGCTACATCATCCTAGTGTAATATCATTATCATATTTTGTTGGCCAAAAGAGTTACATCAAATTCATATTGGATGAAAGATTTCTTTTAATTAATCTATTTTGCTGTTATTTGCTTTAGTAGCTTTTCCTAAATAGGTTGTTGATGTTTTGGCCCAATTCTATTGCTTTTTAAGTGTATGGGTTGTTGGATTGAAGGCATGAATGAAGTTTTTTTCCAGTATATAGTTTTTCGTAGCTTTGCCCTAGCTTCCCGAAAGCTATCCTATCAGTGGTGCTGGGTTTAAAGTGGGGGGAAGATGGAGTTCAGGGTTGTGGGTATTGTCATCAAGTCGGTGGGTGAAGATAAAAAGCAGCAATGTGGAGACGGTGTTCCATAGCAATTTGGTATAAAAGGAAAAACTGCTCTGCCTGAAAGAGCCAATCCAGTGGGTCAGTCCCCTCAAAAGTTGTAAGTTGAAGTTTAGGTGGTTGTATCTGAGGCATGGGTATATTAGTTGTGACTGAATGGGTGAAAGGGGTGGAAAAAGGTAAGGATAAATTGGAAGGGGTGGAAGTTCCAAAATGTATAAAAAGAGGTGGAGGTGGGGAAGTCATAGATGATCCAATTGATGTGGTTGAAAGGGGCATAAAAGACATGGGCATACCCAACGACATAGGGACCGTAGGAAAGGGTGAAGGGGATGTAAAACGAAAAGAGGAAACAGGAGAGGGTAATGTAGTGGAAAGGGAAGTAGGAAAAGGAGAAGATTGGATAGGGTGTACCGAACATGGTGAATCAGGGGTTGGACTGGTAGATGAGACCGATGCCATAGCGGTGAGTTTGGCCATCATCGCATCAATGGATTGTTGGAAAGCAGCTTGACGAGCCTCTTGGTTGAGTTGTTGAGTATCAAACGCTGATTGGAGAACCACAAATTTCTCCGTGAGGAGTTGGATGGCTTCATCGGTCTCCTTGGATGGTTTGGGAGGCATGGATCGAAATGAAAGCACCACTGATAGGATGGCTTTCGAAAAACTAGGGCAAAGCTACGAAAAATTATAAAACTGGGAAAAAAACTTCATTCATGCCTTCAATCTGACAACCCATACACTTAAAAAGCAATAAAATTGGGTCAAAACATCAACAGCCCATTTAGGAAAAGCTACTAAAGCAAATAACAGAAAAGTGAATTAATTAAAAGAAATCTTTCATCCAATATGAATTTGATGTAATTCTTTTGGACCTAACACAATATCATGCAAGCGAAGTTTCTCAGCTGCTCTAATCATTTAACATAAGAGCAAGACTTTATTATTTTTGTTTTTTGCCACACATTTGGATCATAGCTAATTAAACTTTTTAGTTTTTAATTATGTCATCCTCAATAAGCATTTTTAGAGTTTAGTAAATTCTCAGGAGAAAGGCCATAGACACGATTAGATAATCTCTCAAATTGAGCCCGGTACTCAGAAACGGTCCCAAATTGACGGAGTTTGTATAACTCTTGTTGATGGTTGGTATAAGAAGATGGACCAAAACGTAACTCTAGGGCACGAGCAAATGAATGCCAATCCGTTAATTGATGATTGTGGTACATCCACTTGAACCAACTAAGGGCCTCGCCCTTCATGTAAAAAGCAGCAATGTGGAGACGGTGTTCCATAGCAATTTGGTATAAAAGGAAAAACTGCTCTGCCTGAAAGAGCCAATCCAGTGGGTCAGTCCCCTCAAAAGTTGTAAGTTGAAGTTTAGGTGGTTGTATCTGAGGCATGGGTATATTAGTTGTGACTGAATGGGTGAAAGGGGTGGAAAAAGGTAAGGATAAATTGGAAGGGGTGGAAGTTCCAAAATGTATAAAAAGAGGTGGAGGTGGGGAAGTCATAGATGATCCAATTGATGTGGTTGAAAGGGGCATAAAAGACATGGGCATACCCAACGACATAGGGACCGTAGGAAAGGGTGAAGGGGATGTAAAACGAAAAGAGGAAACAGGAGAGGGTAATGTAGTGGAAAGGGAAGTAGGAAAAGGAGAAGATTGGATAGGGTGTACCGAACATGGTGAATCAGGGGTTGGACTGGTAGATGAGACCGATGCCATAGCGGTGAGTTTGGCCATCATCGCATCAATGGATTGTTGGAAAGCAGCTTGACGAGCCTCTTGGTTGAGTTGTTGAGTATCAAACGCTGATTGGAGAACCACAAATTTCTCCGTGAGGAGTTGGATGGCTTCATCGGTCTCCTTGGATGGTTTGGGAGGCATGGATCGAAATGAAAGCACCACTGATAGGATGGCTTTCGAAAAACTAGGGCAAAGCTACGAAAAATTATAAAACTGGGAAAAAAACTTCATTCATGCCTTCAATCTGACAACCCATACACTTAAAAAGCAATAAAATTGGGTCAAAACATCAACAGCCCATTTAGGAAAAGCTACTAAAGCAAATAACAGAAAAGTGAATTAATTAAAAGAAATCTTTCATCCAATATGAATTTGATGTAATTCTTTTGGACCTAACACAATATCATGCAAGCGAAGTTTCTCAGCTGCTCTAATCATTTAACATAAGAGCAAGACTTTATTATTTTTGTTTTTGAATGAGGACCAACTCAAACTAAAGGCTAAGAAAGATGATGAAGAGAAAAGCAAAAACAAAAACAAAAAGAAAAGAAAAGAAAAAAAGAATTTTTCCTTTGAAGAAAAAGGGCTAGATTCAAGTGAACCTTAACCCTTGTGCCATCCTCTTTTCTTTGGTGCCAAGGAAAGATGGCAATAGAGGATGTGCACCATTTTAGAAAGCCATCATTGAATAAAAGGCACCCAATCCTAAGTTAGATGATTTGGTGAATGAATTGCATGGGTCAATAAATTTTAAATGGTGATGCTTCCTTGGCTCTTCCCTTTTGCCCTAAGCACCTTCAGGGGAGAGAAAAAAAATGAATAGGGGAAGTAGGGTCTCACATATGATACTTCTATCTAAGAGAATTTGTGATTATTTTCCTATTCTGTAAAGTTTATTTCGAACCCTTTTCTCATTTTCTTTATTTTATATGTTTATACTAGCATGTGGAGTAAAAAGTGTACAAAGTCAATTTGTTTGTGTTTTTAGCACCTAAAACTACAATATAAAAGACTTACCATGGTTGATGACATGAACATTGATACGCCTTTTGTTTTTCTTCATTTTGCCAATCACCTACGTCAAGCCATTGTTGGATGCCTCTAAGATTGAGGTCTTTGTTGGCAAAAACATTTGATGCTGGCAGAAGTGTGTGGAGTCATTCACGCAATTTCAACATCAAAATCAAATTCTAATTCAACTATTAAGAAAATCAAATATTGGACTTGTGCAAATAAGATAAGTCATCACACCTTGCTTTACACATCTTATCTAACAAGTTGTTCGATGTCCATTGTTCCTACAAAAAGTAAAAGAAACATTGGACTTCATGAGGTTGAAGTACATTACCAAGGACATCTTTAGACAAAAAATCATAATAAAAAATTACTACTGTTGGGAGATGATTGAAGACAATATAAGGGCATCAAGGTCTAGATTAATAAGTATCACAAATTGTCTAATAGTGTGTTTGGATAAAGAATTTTACAAATTCAAGGAATTTTAAATTCTTAGTATTTGAATTACTTTGATTTCAATTTCTATCATTCTTAAAATATTTTGTTTGGATGAGTCAATTCAAATTTCTTAAATTTTAAATTATTGAGTTGAATATGATAATTTGATTCCATCATAGTAAAATTGATTTAAAAAATATATTTATGTTAAAATTTTTAAATTAAATTTTATAAAAATAAATATTAATCCATTTTTAAATATTTAATAATTTTAAAAATTAATATTAGATAATATTTAATAATTTTAAAAATTAATATAAGATAATATTTAATAATTTTAAAAATATTTTTGAATATCCAATAATTAAAAGAATGAAGAGATAAGATAAAATATATAGGTGAAATAAGAAAAATAAATATGAGGAATTTCAAATTCTCCCACTTTTGAGAGAATTTGAAATTATACTATTTTAAGAAATTTCATAAATGCTTGAATTTCAAATTCTTTGTAAATTCCTTATCCAAACAAAGCATTTCACCTCAAAAAATTTGAAATTCTTCAAATAAATAATTACCCTATATAAATTTATCATTCAAACACACTATAAAGACTTTCTGGCGGAAAATATTTTTCTTCCTATTGAGTTTGTGTCTAAGCGGTTGATTGAGAAGTTTCCAAAAATTGGATTTGCCAAAAAAATGGATTAACCACAAGCAACATAAGTATAGACACTACTTCAATTTTAGCAAAGGAAAAAGTTTTTCTAAAATTCACATTTGGAAAGACACTTTTCTCAAGTAATGTACAACGTGTCTTCCATCGGAATTAACTTAATTTTTATAGCACGTACTTTGAAAAAAAGTTGAGTTTAAAGTGTCATATATAATAAGTAGACTGAGTAGATATAATCAAAGTCCTATAAGACTTACAAAATATTTAAAAGATAACATTAATTATTAGGATGCACTTATAAGAGTTACAAAGATAGCATGAATTATGGTATTAAATATAGGAAATTTTTTTTTCCAGTATTAAAAGATATAGTAATGCGAATTGAATTTTTTTTATTTAGATGAGGTCAAATCCATCGTATATATAATTGGTGAAAATGAATTATTTTCTTCAACAATCATTCTTTTAAAAATGAGACCAACCAAATTAGTGTGATAAAATAGTTGTTAAAAAACTTATTATACATTTAATTTAACCTTAAATGCGTGAATCAACTTCTATATATAATTAGTCAAATTTGTTTATAAAAAGATATATTTAATCTATCACCACGCGTGAATCAACCCTCAAGCTTGTGGTGCAATTACCTTCTATGAAGGCTACTGTGTTTCTAGGAAAAAAAAAATCCAATACCTGAAGTTCACATGACTTTTGCCCCCACTAAATTTCTGGATAAGGTTTTGCGTCTACATTTTTAACAGTTTGATGGGAATGAATTGATAAAAAAACAACAAATGTGAACTTGACAGTGTGTATACTGCATTAATTCATATTTTTTTCATCTTAACAGTTGGAGGAAACTACATCCAATCCAATGAACAATGTATTTGGTGGGTCCTTACGTTAGTTGTTGCAGCCTTTCGGTTCATCCCTGTCGAGGAGGTTTCAACTGGGCAATAGATCCACTTAAAAAGGAATTGCGTGACACCATTAATTGACCATCTTTTGTTTTAGTTTCTAAACTAAAATTGGGTCACACCAATTACCAAATTTAGTTCTTGGATGCATCCTTCCAAAACCCGCCACATTGGATTTTGTCCAACTTAAAAAAATGTTACATTATAATTTTATTTTAATTATTAAATAAAATCTCATACTAATTTAATGTTCATTAAGGTTTTCTGGTCCTCTTGAATTTTAGATTTTTAATTTTAGTCTTTATAATATTTTTTTGTCCATTTTTAGTATTTCGTTTATTTTAATTATCAATATCAGTTTCTATAGAGTTAAAATTTATATTTTATTACCCATTTTTAAGTCTATTTTAGAAACTAAAAATAGACAAAAGAATTTTATAACTAAAAGAAATCTAAAATTTTAGATTGACAAAAATATTTACAAATCCCCAGAATTTATTTTTAAAGATACTGAATTTTAGTTATTCAACAAGACCTATATGATTTTTTTTTGTCTTTAATCACAACATTTTTGAAGTTTGAATATATAAGTTGGTGTAAATTATTAAAATCTTTGACTACTAGCCGACTTTAACGAGTCAATTAGAAAAATTTATTTTTATTTAAAACATTATATTAAAAAATGGCAAGCAACATATTATGATTTTTTTTACTAGACATTCTTTATTAAAATGTATATATTTTTGTCCTTAATTAAATATATATATATATACCCTCTAAAAGAAGTTAATATAAAATTTGTGTCACTTTTACTATTCCTAGTATTTAGTTGTCATGTCGGCCCTTTGAGCCGACTACCACCAAAGAGTTGCCAAACCGCCAAGGCGGTTCTCTCCACACACAGCACTTGCGCCGCCAACATTATGCTTTCACATCTTTATATTAATATTTTAATAACAGTAGTTTAAAATATTATTATATTCCATTATTTAAAAATTAGTATTGCCTTTCATTTATTTATTTAGTCCATATGAAAAATCTTGATAGATATTTATTAATATAGAATTTTCTTAAGCTCCACCCTTTGCTTCACCAACTGATTGGTATGTCATTTAATTTCTCCACGAAAATGTCAGGGAACTTAATTGATAAATTTAGAGAAAATAAAATGAAAAATTCAAACCGCTTTATTTATTTAATTAATTATTGTTTTATGATTCTATTGGAGTTACTTAGTAAATAAGGAGAAGTTGTACAATCAACAGCTGTTCATTAAATCACCACCGACTGACTCTATGGCGGCGCCTGCAAACAACTTGAACCTTTCCATCGTTCCATATTCTCCCAACCATATATATATATATATATATATATATATGAAGAAACAAACCTATGGGGTTGTGGGGTTGAATTGAAGGGAACTTTTGCATGCTTTTGATTGCGTTTACACGTGTTATTAATTATCAAAGGTGGCGAATCCAAATCCTGGAGAGAAAGCAAAGGACGTTGACAAGAGGGAACATGAAGAAGGGATAAGCAACACAATGCAAAGGCTATTGCCCGGTTTGAATAGGGAGAGAGAGATGTCTGCTATGGTCTCAGCTTTGACCCACGTCGTCTCCGGAGATGTGCCACCCGCTGATCATCATGTTGTCGTTACACCTAATTCTGTTGCCACTGCCACCTCTTCTCTCAAGAGAAGTAGACAACACCACACACCCTTCTCAAAAAGTAAGCACCACGTTAACTCTTCTACAATCCATGATACTTAATTTTCTATCATCATGGGTCGGTCCATGTTTGGACAATATTTTCTTCAATTCTATATTATTCTAATTGTAACAGAGAACAGAAGAGTCAACAATATGTTGTTATTTTATGTTTTATGTGTGAGATAGTTAGCCTTAGCCATGATATAAAAAGGTATATTTACGAGATTAATTGTACAGGTGCAGAATGTTCAAACAGCAGCACAAGGGAAATGGAGAATGCTGTGTATGAATACAGAACAACGAGAAGAGAGAACGAGAATGTGAGTAGAGAAGAGGGAAGGAGAAAATACAGAGGAGTGAGACAAAGGCCATGGGGGAAGTGGGCTGCAGAAATAAGAGACCCATTCAAAGCGGCGAGGGTGTGGTTAGGGACATTTGACACGGCTGAGGCTGCTGCAAGGGCATACGATGAAGCTGCCCTTCGTTTTAGAGGGAACAAGGCCAAACTCAACTTTCCTGAGAATGTCACTCTCCGACAACAACCTCAACCTCAACCTCAATTTAGTATCTCCGATTCTTCAACATCTCTTGTTTCCGTTACAACGTCCACCGACCCTGTTGTTCACACCACACCTCTTATCCCTTATCAGCCTTCTTCTACCGACTATTACGACTGTTTTCAACTCTCGCCCTTCCCCACCAACCTTTATCAGGATCACATGTTTGTCACGTCTTCCATGGCTTCTCATCTTCAATCTTCTTCTTCTTCTTCTTCAACTTCTGCGTTTGCTTCGTCTCTAACTTCTCCTCAGGACACTTCGCTTTCTTCTTTCTATACTACCCAGTTGCCGCCATGGTCTGCCTCTGCCTCTGCCTCTGCCTCTGCTCATAGCTCTTCTTCATCCGGATGATTTTTTTCTCTTTATTTATCGACTCTGTAACTTTTTTTATTATATTTTCATTTCTTTTTTTGAAACCATTATAGCCTCACCTACGCCTCTGTAATGCATACGACCTTTCCTCATTCATGATTTTAGATGAGTGGAAAACTGAATTCCAATGTTTATAGTATTTCATAATCTAGACTCAATACTTTTATGGAAGAGAATAAAATGAATTCAATTTATGTACCATTGGAAAAAATTAAATGAGGAATTTATTTTTAGGTGTTTAAATCTTCTTGATTCGTTTTATTTTATCTTCTTCTATTCGTACATGTTAAACAGCACTTGAAGTAATGTTGAATGAACTCGTTTAAAGATAAATGACAATTTTTTTTTTCTCTTCACAGGATTTTAAGTATAAAATTTTACTACCACTATGATTAATATACATTAATAAATCCCTACTCTAATTTTGAAATTATCAATGTCTCATTTGAATTCTTAGGAAGGAATAAAACCAATAATAATTGGCAAAGTTTGAAGTGGAAGTCTTATGACGCTAAGAACTAAAACCACACTTAAAAGTCTTACTAAAATTAAATAATTTATAATCATAATCGTTGGCTAAGTACTCGTTTGTCCGATCTCTTTCGTAATTCCAACACTCTGACATAGCATGTTAGTAACGTGGTCAGAGAAAAGAGCCTTTGACAATTTGTTACCACCGAACTATTAAATGGTTTAATTTTGAATTTCTTACCAGAAAATCAACATCTTCCTCCTGCAGATTATTTTTCCCTTTTTATCATCCGAAAGTCCTTATCGCAACTTGAAATTCAAACATTCATTCGGCGCATTAGTATATAGAATTGCATCTTGTTGAACTTAGAACCGCCGTTCCAACCTCTAGCTTCTAGGTGAAAGATGGTCCCAATGACTCCTCTAAACACTCGCATATACAAATATACAAATTAAGGTAAACGATGTTTCATAAACTAAAATTTAATGGAACCAATGAATTTGACAGAAACGATCCTGAGGTTGACTACCATGCGGATATTTCAACGTTACTCGACTACGTAAGCAAGAATTCGTTAACAAAAAGTGAATAATACGAGGCACAACATACGTACGCACACAACACACGCGTGAAGATCATTATAAAACATGGGAAAATAAATGGTCTGAACCAAGGCCACAAAACCTTGTAATATAATTCTTCCTTTCGTCTGAGCAAAGTAACTCGAATTATTTTTTTCACTTTAAAGCTTCCTTTTTGATCTTTACACGTCCTCTCACAATCGAGGGAGATAAAGTACACTGCACAGTTAAGACACGTTCACACGTAAGAGCTCAGTAGCGTGTAAAACACCTTAAACAATGATAATGTTGTGCACGTAACACAATCGATCAAGTAATAATAACTTTTATACAAGACCATTGACTCGATCGCTTATTAAGAGGTATAAATATTATTTAAAGAAAAGTCACATGCGTTTATGATGACTAATTGCGTAGTCATAGTTGGACCTTTTAACTTATTTACCGTAATGACATGTACAAAATGATTTTTTATATAAATAATAAAAAAAGTGATTATTGTAGGGTCAGGATCCCCATTTGTCCAAAGCCGGGAGCCATGTCCCAGGACAGTAAATGCAAAGCTTATAAGATTCATTATCTCCAGTAATTGATTGATTAGGATTTCGCAGTCACATGTTCACGTTGAAACCCTTCCTATGCTCCCCCATAACAAAAACATTTAATAAACACCATTCTATACTCAAACAGATAATGCAACTCAATGTAATGAGGAAAACAAGAAGAAAACCGCATCCAAACTGCACAAGAAACTGGAATAAGGAGCCCAAGGAATATGGGAAAATTAAACACACAAGAATATCAGCACTCAATTACTTCCCACCGCGCTACAAACAAGATCGTTTAGGATCCTGTCATAAGTCGGTGGTAAGGTATGCACCATTAGTATACAACGCAAATAAGTATATATCAACTATACCCTAATTGCATAATTGACAATATATAAAATGGAAAGAAAAAAAAAGGGCATCGTCGATTAATCCACTACCTCACCAACCTAATCAGCAACAATTCAAATGAAACATCAAGTTAAGGCACTTCAGTCCAAAATCACATCTATATTGGGGTTCGCCTGCAGTTACCAGATAGAAGCATTGTGATCAAACAGGAAAAACTTTACAAATGAACCATCATGGTACTTCCATATATTACAAAATTTACTTCCCGTCAGTGACTCCTTTAAAAATAATTCATAAGGAAATTTGAGACGAAATGGACAAGCCGTACCTGTAACTTTTGATAGTGATATGGTGCTCTTAAACCTTCAAGGCAGCTTTATGCACCATGGTTTCCTTGTGTATTTGATGGCAGCTCTTCTCCACAAGATCAAGCAGTCTCTCCAAGTTTGCTGCCCATGAGTTAAGAATGTCATTGCTATCCTTGGCTGATTGGAAACAAACTATTCCCATGGGTCTATCAATCTTCGCTACCAATGTCTTAGAAACAACCATATCTGAAAGATGCTTCTCAGCTTCCTGAAAGTTTGCAAGGATAATTATTTGGTTTTTCATATAAAAAGATAAACATTTGAACAGTTTGCAACATCTATATTCACATGTAGCTCATTAAGAAACAACAAAAGACCAGTTTGAGGTGGCAAATGAACTAATGCCAGTGACAGACCCAGAAATTAAGCTTTTATTTCTTAAAAACACAAATATATAAATCTGTGTGGAAGCAACAAACAGATTTACATAATATTAAGAAAAAAATTTCGGACCAAGGCAGCATATAACATGGAACTAGCAAACCAAGCCCTCTTCTTTCCCACTGGTTATTGCAAAAGAAATTGGCTATTCATCTGATACACTAGAGGCTTGCCCAAACACATTAAAAACAATTATTTACCACATGAAAACATTCAGCACATAATCATAACTAGTATCACAAACCTGAACACTCTGACACAAAAGCTCTGCCAGTCTCTTCAAAGTAATCCTTGCATAGTATTTTGATATAACAATAATATTCTGATAATGTAACAAGAATACACCACATTAATGCTCAAATCCTAAATCAAGAAGTGTGAAAAATAAGACACGTCCACAAAACACCTCCCAAGCAAATTGGACGGAGGGAAGGGTCAAAAGAAATACAGCAATGTAAGGGAATTACATGTTCAATTACTCTTTCCTTCAGATCTTCTGCTGCTTTTTCACCCAATTTTTTCCCAAAGTTATTCTCGTTCTTGAACTCATCCTTGTATGCATCCCAAAGAGCTGTCCACTGGATAACCTCCATAGTGACCAACTGTTTCAACAGTAACCTATGGCATAATATATAACAGGTGCATCAAATGACAAGGAAAGCATAACTGAAACATCCAAGCACAGCAGGATGACACACGAGCAAGACTAGGAAGACATACTTAAAGTTTGAAATCTCAGACAGATTCTTATCCTCCAAGGTGGAATTGAGAAGGCTTGACTGCATTGGATCATGTGGTGATAGAACCAAGTACCAACATATTTTCCTCAGGATCTACGTGTACGGAGAATATTTAGAGAAAAAATAAACACAAGCTGACAATAACAGATAAATCAAATAAAGAAAAGGGAAAGCCTACTGGAATCCACTCGGCAGGGTTCTCTTTGACGGATGGAACCTCATATATTTCCTTGTAGCAACGGCAAATTTCAAGATAATTATTTTTATGGGAATAATACCTTCAAGAATAAACAGAAACCATCATAAGACAAAAATTATGATCAGAATGCAAGCATCATCAGGAAGTACCAAAGTTGGCATCAAAAGAATGCAGCACCAAGACAACAATTTTTCAGATTACTGAAAGTTATTTTGAATAGCTCCAAGTTCAAAAAAATGTGGGCACTGGATAACTTGTAGTTAAATGGGATTGGACAGAATATCCAACTATGCCAATTTCCCTGAACTTTCAGATTCAAATGTACAAACACGCAAGTGATAAGCAAAGCAGAGCACATAGTAAAAAATCAAGATTTATGAAACAATATATTTGATGCAATGTTATTAACGGTGGATGGCGACAAGCCAGAAATCCACCATAAGATGTGGATGGTGTTGTGGATTATGGTGGATGCACGGTGGCCATATATATATATATATATATATAGAGGAAAGATCAGTTTATACCTGTGTAAAGACTTAATATTTGCACACTATTCAATAGCTTTATATAGAATGTGATTTTTATTGATTCAACTATTGAATAGCAAGTACTTGTTATCTTAACTGTTTGTGTCAAATCTTGTAAAAGTTAAGCAACAATAAGAATATAATCAAAATGTACTTATTTTAACACACATATATTGCATTAATTTTGATGTATAGTAAGGAAGTATTAAATAGTTTTAGATTAAATTAAGATTTTTCAAATATGATCTATATGATAGAAACTTGCAATCTAATCATGGGTTTTGGAATGAAATTATTTAATAAAAAAATATTGAATGGTGTAAGATTGAGTTTAACTTATAATGGTGTAAACTAGTCTCTTCACATACGCATCACACAATGTACAAAGAAACTGCAAAATATAATAAAGAAAACCAATAACCAATATGAAAACAATAAAGTACAAACATATAATTCACCAAAAGTAACCCAAGTCACAAATTTATTTGACAATATCACTTGTCTCACAGCATATGTTCACTGGAAAGTACAAACAATCAAACTGAACTGATCAAGCAATAAAAGAGAGGAAGAGATATGATTATTTAGAACAGAACAGAGTGGAAGAGAAGAGAGAATGCCTCAATTTTTTTTTTGTGGAAAGAACAATATTGGATTTTTTTGTCAAAAGAAACAGTATGATCAGAAAGAACAGAATGGAAAGAAAGAGGAAGAAAAAGAATATAAAAGGAAAAGAACAGAATGGGAAAAGTGGAAGAGAAAATCATATAATTTAGAAGTTCCACCAAAGTAGCAAGTGGATTCTTGCCATTTGTCATCTCCAAGTCTATCTATCCTCAATGGAATTTAAATTAGATAGTGTTTTAACCTAATTTTTTTTTTGTTTTTAGTTTCTCTTCCTCTTAAAAGGACTATGCCAAATTGCAAACCAATCATAATTTTGGAACAAATCTTAAAAGTAAATTCATCTTTATGATGAAGAAAGCCCAAAAACTAGAGCTTCTGTAGAACCTAATCATAGGATCTTCTACTTTTACACTCTTGATCAAAGTAAAATAGGAAAGAAATAAGAAGGCTAGAAGTAAAGGAGAATAGAATAGAAAAATGTGCTGTTTGGATGGATATAAATAAGAAAAAAGTGGGAAAATCTATGCTTGTTTGGATAAGTTGGAAGAGTGAAAATAATTTCTTTTGTATAAAATAGCTTTTTATACTAATTGTGAAAATTAAATTTAACTATTTTTTTTAACTTTACCATAATTTTAACATACAATTATTTATTATTTTATATTATAAAATAATTATTTATTTTAATTAAAAAAAGTATAAAAAAAATACAACACCTCTTCGCCCCCACTTTTACAGCTCGTTGGGGGGAAATGATTTTATACATGAGAGCTACAAAAAAATTCTTCATTTTTATTTCTCCTTTCAAACAAATAGTGGAAATTTGGTATTTCCATCTTATCTCCCTCCACTCTATTTTCTTCAACTCTATTTAAGATTTTAAGGAAAAAAGAAGACAAAAAAAAATGGTCCAAACACCTGGTATCACATGGAAAGTGAAGAGCTTTAAATCTACTACATTCCCTCCACAGTGGGATATATATAGAAAGAGGCACTGTTCAATGCTTCAGCAAATTCCTTCTCTTTCATTTATAGACCATCAAACCAAGTACAACAAAAAAATAAACACTTGGCAGCAGCAAAGAAAGTCAGAGATTCTAATTTGCTTGATCAGCCAATGAATTATAGTTCCCTAGGTGTAGTTAGTTAAAAAGATTAAGGAAAAAAATTGAAAACTACTTATCCCAAATATGTGGATGCAAATCAGAACAAATGTGCAAGTGAGATGGAAAAAATTCTTCTAAAATTTGTCTCCAAAGTGCATAAACAAGTAAGGATGTATACACCGTTGAATTTATCAGGCTTCGATTGTGATAGTGGCACTATTAAGCTATTTGCTGCTATTGATAACTATGTTTGCAACAAAACAGCATCCAGATTTTAACTCTCCCCACCAGGCAGCCAATTGAACAAGCAAAATAAGACAAGAAGTAGGGAATCTGTTACCGAATCATTAGTTCATAATAGCTCCGCTTCAACTCTGGTAGAGATGGTATATCAGCAGGAGCTTCCTCAACAACATTATCACCTTCTTTAGGCTTTTTCTTTTCCTTTGAAACATCGGCATCAAATACTCTTGTACTAATCTTTCTTGAGAGTATTTGTGCACGAACATAATCCTGACAGTCAAGACACAAACGAACCTGCACAATTAAATGCAAGAGATTTTTAAGTCAGCAACTAAATGGTAACATTAATGTCATTACTTAAGGAAAAATTAGAATATCCCTTACTTGTTCAAGAATGAAAGCAATTTTCTCAGTTTTGGCCATGGCACCAAAAGTTTCCACCTGTTAAGGAAACCAATTGCATAAATCAACTGACAGCTAATTGAACTAACTAGTGACCTACAAAACCCAGAGATGCACAATAAAAGCCAACACAACATTTAAAATTCCCACTGACCGCAATTTCTTGCATCAAATCAGCAGCTTCAGCTATAAGCCCTTGTTCTTCCTTAATCTTTGCAAGTTTCTTGATCAACCGAGCTCTCTCAATCTCCACATATATCTAACAAATGATACAATACAACATATTAAATATACATTTTATATGACAGACTACATTGGAGGATAATAAAAAAAGGAATGAAGAGTAAAAACATCATATGCTCACCTTTCCTGCAGATACACTGTTCAAGGTTTTGATGAGTTCTATACGAGTTTCAAGATCTGGTGTCTCATCAATATATTTCATAGCCTGCTGGACCATTGCTGTCACAGCCTATGTACAAAGAATAGGCTTATGAAAAAAGGAACATATCATGTTTCTTGTAACAATTGCAAGACAACTAGACAAAGTCTCAGCTTTCGGCATTTAGATTATAACTTGTCAAATGCAAAAGTTGTGAGAATGTGCTAATAAGAAATATATCCGTGTTCAGTTTAGTATAGGGGTAAAAGCAAGGGTGAAAATTTCAAGGATCAGTTTATAGCTATTAGCTTATATGGGTTACAAAGAATGTGGATAAGAGTTTGTTTGGACTTTGAATACAAGCTTAAAAGAGTTTTTGAGAACTTCTCTATTATAAAAAGAAACTCCTTATTTTCAGTAGAAAAACTCTTCTAAACTTATATTCAAACAGACTCTAAAACAATTACTATATCAATTTTATTAGCCACATTGTATCGCAAACTGAACCAAGAATTTTTACCCAACAGAACCAACCTTTAAAGGTAAAGGAATTCATACTATTGCATTCCAGTATGCTAGTCCAGCATTTATTTTCCAAACAAACCGTAAGAATAGGAATTATAAGTGATGAGAGACATGTTTGACAGAGAACATCTGCTCTAACTTACATAAAATCTACAAGGTCCTGGCTAGCATAGTTAATACAAACTATCTTCTTCTTTTTTTCAGAGGGATAAGTGAAAACAAAATCTCGGTAGACATTCATTAACATACAATACCTAGCGTGCAACAAAACACTACAAATTCTGAACTACATGATACCATGTTTTAATGCAAACTAAGAAAATCATGGCTACAGCAACTAAAGCCCTAAGAAACCTAACATGATTAAAATACACCTACACATTTTATCCAAATAACAATAAATAAAAAAATAAAACTAGATAGCCCCTCACCTGCTTAAGCTGACCACGTCGTTTTGATAACAGAACAATCTGGTCATTGAGAGTTTTCCAGGCACGCGCTTCGAAGCATAGCCGTAAAATTTCCGTGACGGCGTTTCTGGTGGCGGCGACGTCGCCGGCGAGCCTGGCATGCTTCTCCGCATTCAGCAATTGCTCTATGGCCGCGTCTAAATTCCCTGCGTTCTCCTGCGAAACCAGAAGAATCGTCAATTCAGCTCAGGAAAATCCAAATGCAACATTTCATTTTACTTTTTTTTATTATTTATTTTCTAAAACCTACGGCGAGCAGCTTCATAGGCGGGCATAGAATAGAAGAAGCATAGAGAAAAATGAGAGTGAGTAGTAACAGTAGAATTAGATAAATAAATGTTGAGATCTGCAGTTTGAGTATGAATAACATTTGGGAAACTGAGTAGAGAGAAGCGGGGGCGTACCATAACCATAACCATGGAACCTTGCGTGCGAGAGGGGAGAAGGGAGGAGCTTCTACAGAAAGAAAGGTACCATATAACATTGAAATATGTTCATGGGCCCAACTATTTTACACTGTCCCTGTCATTGGGGATTTTGGCCCAAAGCTCTCCTTGATGCAACAGTGGGCCTTTTCTTTTACCCCCATAGTGTAAATAGAAAACAATTTTACATAATTGGTGTACGTGCTGATAATAGGAATAGGAAGTTGAAAGTCGACTAGTCCTAAAAAAATTATTGATAGTCGACTTGGTAACTACGAATTTTTTATTTTAAAATTCTAGAAATTAACTATAACAAGATCAATTTATCTCTATTTTGTCGTTTTTTAAATTTAGGATGCTAACAATGATATTGTCTAATTTATTTTTATGTATATTTTAAATATGAAATATATTTTTGATTTTTTTTTTAAATTTAGGAAGATGACACACGCACGCACACAATATATCTTGCCTACTGGCTGCTCTATTATTGAATATTGTATAAAAAAAACTAATGCTACATTGTCATTGCATCTCTTTGTTGGGAAATATAGTGGGAAGTTAAATATAAAAAATAATTTTATTGATGCTCCGCAAGTTAAATTACATAAGTAAATTATTGATCACACTATATTTTAATTTAGAATCTTAAAAAAAATGGATTTATGGATTTTTTTATTTGTTATATAAAAAATTTCTCTTTCAAATAAATTTCTTTCACGTAATATGTTTCTCTCTCTCAAGTAAAAAACATTTTTCCATTATGAGTATTCAATAGTTGTCCTTAAAATTTAACCAATGCCATCAATATGTTTGAGATGCATAACCACTTGCATTGTCATTAACTTTCTAGAGTTTCGTCATTAGTCATTATATCGCTAATATGTTTTAGATATTTACTCTAATATGTTAGGCTCTAATGTTTAACCATTATCATTGATATGTTCATATATATCAATACTGTTATTAGCGTCATTGGGACACACAACCTATCCACCACCAAGAAGACTTTTAACAATTGTCATTCTATGACTTAATTCTTGTTTGATTTAGTTACCTAATTGAATCATCAACTCTTATAAAAGTTATTAAGAATATGAGGAGTTAAAGTCCACCAATGGGAATTAACCAAAAAAGTATGTTTATTACATGTTAAGCCAAAAACTTTAAGGCATAAGGTTTATAGATATTCTAATAAGAGATAGTTAAAAACCAAGAATAATTTAATTAATGAATCATGAGTCAACCACACAAGTAAACTTAACATCATATTTAACTAAAAATCTAAAGGCATTAGGTTTGTGAGCATTTCTCACTTATAATTATTTGGATTGTCCATCTTTATACAATGAGAGGCTTCTGAATCACCAACACTCATTTTTGATCGGTGAAAGATGTAATGGTGGAGGACTTCAATTTCAATGTCTAGATAATAATGGACTATCAAAACTAGACATGACAACTAAACCCGCATTCACAGGTACTTGTTCGACATCAACCTAATTTTGATGAAGAAAACTTGTTTTGATTGAGTACGGGTTTAAATACACACATATATACACACATACATAAATATATAAAGTTATGTTTTTAATTTTTATAAATATTAAAATATAAATTAATTATTTTAATAATTAAATAACTTAAATTATATCAATAACTAAATAGAAAACTTAAAATTATACTTTTAATTAAAAATGTAATTTAATTCTTAATTTTTATTTATAGATTTTTTATTCTTTCTTATTGATTATTTTTTATATATTATTTATATTATAATATAATTATTAACTTATAATTTAATTTGTTTAAAATGTATAAATAAATTAAAATTGTAAAATAAAATATGTGATGAGTGTATGTGGATTTACTCGAACCCCAATAAAACCCAATGAAAATGACAATGAGTTATAAAAATATAAATCTACATCTTTAAAATTCAAATCCAAATTTGTCTCCTCTATTATGGGGATGGAGATGGGGAAAACAATATCCACTTCGACCCATCCTATAACCATCCCAAATCAATCCATCAATCTTTTCTTCTATTTTTTATTTAGTAATTTCTTCCCTATAGTCCAATTCATGTTCATAACTAGCCACAATTATACAATTGTGACACATTAATCTTATTAATTTGACCTTTATGGTGATTTAATTTGTTTAGGGATGCTTTTTGGATTTATGTTGGATAACCTCGAGTTATGTAAAAATACTAGTTAATGTAATTTTAAATATTGCTGCAGACGCTCAAGGCAATATCTTTCCCTACTAATGAAGGGCAACGCGGTCTCAATATTGATTCTTTTATTTATTTAGAGACAGATGAAAGCAACTGAGGATGGATAAATTGATTGCGCTTTACATGTTCCTCATGTGATTTTTGTGTATTTGTTACTCAGATAAAATTTGATAAGCTTAGGAGATGCTATGACCAACAATTCTATGACTACCGGAAAATATATAACCTTGAAAAGTTACCTTGGTCAAACAAGTTTTCACATACTCTGAAGCATCTAAGTATTTTCATGGAGAATGGTTTTTGTTAATTATGCTCATATAAGATCAAATCTAGATTTTGTATCCTTTGGGGGATTGAAACAAAACAACATTTTTTTGTGCATGCTTTATTTGGAATGAACCATAAAGCTTCCATAGTCTTTATTAATTTTACTCTCTTGTGCTTCAGACTTCATTACTGATAAATATTTTTTGCTGTCAGATTCATCTAAAATTCTCGCAACCATGTCACTAGCATGTAGGGGTATTCATAGATCGGTTTTTTGAAAAATTTGAACCGAACTGAATCGAACCGTTTTATAAAAATAGATCGGTTAATCGATCTATTTTTTTATAAAGTAGATCGGTTTGGTTTTTTTAAAATATGAATCGGTTTTTTTGGAAATTGGATTGATTTAGTACAGTGCGGTAATCCATTTTTTACTCATATATGGATCGGTTTTTTTAAAAAATCGAACCGAACTGAACCGATCTATTTTGTAAAAATGAATCGGATATTTGAATCGGTTTCATAAAGTGAATCGGTTTGGATTTTTTTTTCAAAATAAATCGGATTTTTCAATGCGAATCGGATCGGTTATGAATTGGTTCGGATCAATTTGGATTTTTTGCACACCCCTAGTGGGAAGGGTTTTTTGATATTAACAGACAAATACATAGTTTGGATAGGAGTGGGCAAAAAAAACTAAACTGAACTGAACTGAACTGGTGGTGAACTGTACTATAAAAAATTGAACTGTTTGTAAAAAAACTGAACTGAACTGTTTAAAAAAAACTGAACTAAACTGAATTGTTGTAAAGTTGAACTGTACTGAACTATAAAAACTGAATTGAATTATAAAAATTGAACTATTTTTATAAAAGAATAAAAATTAAATGTGTTTAACATGTTATGTCTTAATGGATTAGCTCGATAGTCTAATAACCAAAACTTTAGAAAAAAAAGTGATCTGAAAAAAAATTGTATCAATTTTGTCGAACTTAACGGATCAATTGAGCTATGATGAACTACTTATTTTTAGGCTAAAAATTCACTGAGTTTGTTTTACTTAATTTTATATTTTTTTCCTTTGAAAAATTTAAATAAAATGAAAAATAAAGTAAAGTTGGCAAATGTGTCCTATTTTAATAGATCAATGAGTCAAAATTGTTCAATTCAAAATATCATAACAATTTAGTGCAGTTTAAATTGTAGTTCAGTTCAAGTTTTTATAATATAGTTCAGTTCAGTTCAATGACACAAAAAAATAGTTCAGTTCAGTTCGTCTGAACTAATGTTTAGTTTAGTTCAGTTCATATGAACTACTTTTAAGTTCAGTATAGTTTTTATAAGTTCAGTTCAGTTCAGTTCGTTTTGTCCACCCCTAAGTTTGGAATACCTAAGGTTTTAAGATTCTTTTAATGATAAAATTGGGTTATTGTCCCTCATTTGTTTAATTGAATGAAAAGAAGAAGAAAAAGACATTGCTTTGAGGTGTCTTTCCTTTCAAATGGGAATTTGGGTAAACTGAGTTCCAGCGTCTCTTATTTTCTCATTTGGAGAAATATTCGAATCTTTGACCGATTAGATTCTCAGTAGCTTAATGTCTCAATTTTCTTTTAGCACCTTATCCCTCCACCTGTTGAGGAATCCTCGTGACTTAATCTTCGTTAGAATGTGCCTTTAAATGGTTTGGACATGTACTTGGCTATTATTTTAAGTCTGTGGAACTTCTCCAAGAGAACATAAGTAATGATTGAATTGCATACAAATATTCATTGAATTTCGTATACGAATTTATTGTCATGACATAGTGCTGCTGGGACATTTACCGTTTGAGTGACATTTATGGACAGCAGAACTGGTCAATTCAGACGATGATGATGATGGATTTGATTCCTCTACTGATATGCAGGCACTTATTGATGACACAACACAAGGTTCCTTGCTTCAGAACTGGTCAATTCAGTCAAACACAGGTTGGCATTTGTTATCTAAATTCATGCATGTGGTATAGGTTCAGTGTACCGTTTGACTTTTGTGTTTCAGATTCTAGTGCATCTTAATACAGAGGAAGATGTTTGAGATGAAAATTAAAATAAAAAAACTAAATATCACATAATAATAATAATAGTAATAATAATTATTATTATTACTATAATTATAATTATAATAATAATCATCCATTGTGTTGTTTTGGGGAAGTTCAATGCCTTATCAGATCTGAGTCTCCGGCCCGGAAAAGTTAGTTTGACGATCCAATTCCGAGGAGTTTATGCCTTTGTTTGTATGGGTGTCAAAGACGTGATTTTTTACGTTTAACTAGAAATAAAAAATAATAACTTCTCCTTGAATTCATAATTAAATGTGAAAAGAGAAAGGAAACTTGCGTTTAAAAATCAAAAACCAAACAAGCACTATGATTTGGGATAT